GGTATTCAGAGTTTTTGCTGGGGCTCAGTCACATAGACATGGTTGACTGCCTGCATGGCTGACCTTAGTTTCCAGCCCCTCCAGAGGTTAAGCTAATACTGCATGATTCAGAACTCCAACCTAAATCATACTGTTAGACTATCTGGTATTTACCTTCAAGTAAACAAAGACATTATATCATATACAAAATATATAAACAGCCTGAAGCTCAAGCGTCTACTATAAAAGTTTTGAGTTCTGGGATAAGGAGGTTGATTCACTAGATGTTGACGCCTGCCACAGGAGTGAAGGTTCTCATTATCAGTGCTTGCTGGCGCATAGCCTCTGAGATTTTTTTTCACAAAAAAATTTCAAAATAAAGATATAGAAAGAGAAGAGTTCACATGTCTTCTGTGAGAGAGGTGGAAGTTGGGGCCCATGGAGGAACTCAATCTTCTTGACCACAAGTGGGGAGAGAATCAGGGTCTAGGTCCATGTGTTGACATGTACAGAGAAACAGGCAGAGCTTGTGGTCAGCATGGATGGCAGACTGGATACATGTGGAGTAACTGAGTAATAAGTAAATATACTGAGGATACCTGGAACCAGGATGCTCACAGTCAGAAAAGAGGCACAGACATGTAAATGAGGAGGTCTAAAATAAATCTTGTTAAATTGGATTGGAATTAGAGGTGTCAGTGTCCACTAAATAATTTTTTAATTGTTTAAATTTTAACAAAGCAGAATTCTATATCCAGAGAAAATATATTCAAGAATGAATGCAAAATAAAGACACTTTCAGATAAAAGAAACCTAACAGAATTTGTCACCAACAGACCTGTATTACAAGAAATGCTAAAAGGAAGTTCTTCAGGCTGAAAGAAAATGCTACCAGTGGGAAAATGAGATCTTCAGGAACAAAGGAAGACAGCATAAGTGGTAACTCTCTGGGTTAATGTAATAACTCTTTTTATTATATTAATTTCTTTAAACCACATATAACTATTCAGAGTAAAAATTTTAATAGTATGTTTTGTTTATATAGAGATGGTATATATAGCTGAAATGGCTATACTAATTTCAGATGAACTAGACCAGTAATAAAGGGGGACATTTCATTATAGAATAGGTGACACATTAGGAAAATAATTATTATCATTTATGTGTACACACCTAAAAACACAGCAAACAACACTGCACTTGCACGACCCTAAGAATGAGTGCCTCCTTAAATTTTGCACCCCAGGTGCTTTACTCAACTCAGCATTACTTTGGTTCTGACCCTAATTTTAATATCTCTCTCTCAGTAATTGGAAGAAAACAAGACAAAAAAAACAGTGAATAAATGATATGAACTATCAACCAACTTGGACTAAATAATATTTGTATAAAAACTCACCCAACATCTACCAAATACGTATTTCCTTTCAGATGCACATGGCATATTCACCAATATGACTCTATATATTGGGCCATGCAAAAAGCATCAATGAATTTCAAAGGATCAAAACCATACACAATGTATTCTCTGATCAAATGGGGCTGAACTGTAAATAATAATGAAGTAGCTAGAAAACCCACAAACGTTTGGAAATTAAACAACACAGTTCTATATAATCCATAGGTTAAAGGAGAAATCAAAATGGAAATAAGAAAATATTTTGAACTGACTGATTAAAATGCAACATATAAAAATTTGTGGAATGGAGTTAAAGTAGGGAATTTCTGGCTTTAAATGTTAAAGTATAAGAGAGAAAGGTCTAAAATCAGTAACCAGAGGTTCCACTTTATAAGCTAGAAATGGAAAGGCAAAGTAAATCCTCAGTACCCGGAAGGAAATAAGAGAAGAAATAAAAGGTGGTTTCTTTGGAAAAAGCAACAGAATAGATTAAACCTTACCTAGAATTACTAAAAATAAAAAAACTGTCTTTGCAACAAATCACTAATATCAGGAATGAAAAAGAATTTATCACTAAAGAATATATAAATAGTAGAAGTCTAACAAGGGAATTACTATGAACCATTTCACTGCAACAAATCTGACAACTCAGATGAAATGGACTAAACTTG